TGACCGGCTGCGATTGGAATGAAATGTAGGCAAAGTTGTGTATCTGCATAGTTGTGTAGTTATATTTGCGCAGGTCTAGTTGTAGCTGTAGAGTGTAGGCGTAGTTATGTAGCTACAGTTGCATAGCTACCTGTAGCTGCATAGTTGCAGTAGAAGCAGCAGCAGCAGCAGCAGCAACAGCAGCAGAAGTCGCTCGTCGTCCCTACCGGTACTACCACTCAGCCACGACCACGACCACGACGAGGAGAGATGAGAAGAGTAAGAGGACGAGGAGGACCGGAAGACTAGGACCAGGACTTCTACTCCTACTCGTACTCCTCCCGCTGCACTGCCTCCTCCTCCTGCTACCAGTGCCAGTGATTTTGCGTTTCAGGTGAGGCTTCTCGGAGTCAGGTACCCTGATAGCAACGTTGGAGGCATACCGAAAAAGGCCTGTGGCACCCTTCAGGTGCCTTAAACACTACGCTGTCCTTGCCCGTCGTGCGCAGCAACACAATGCCCATCGTGCGCTGCACCGGGTTTTGAACCCGAAAAGTGCGGCAAGTTCCACCTTCGGCGGCCGAGGCCTGGCGCGCACCCTGCGAGGCAGCAAACACACAACCATATGCGAAGCACATCTACAGCGCTGTAGCATATCAAGCTTCGAAACAGACCGAGAGGTCCGTAGGGATTTCAACGCATGCGGTGGCTCACAAGCCGATGACACGAACCATGCCGCGATGATTTACGGAACACCCTAGTTAGCACTAAAGTTGCATGTCCGTGAAAGAAAGCATTATCGGGCCAAAGGGAAATCCACCGGGTCGGACCGTCTCGATCAGAAGCGGTGTATAGTATAAACTCGAATTCTAAGCCCAAGTTACCTTGGTGGTGACTTCAGTGGGCCCGTCACACCATCTCTCTATCAAGGATTGGTGCGTCAATACCCCACCACCGGATTCGTCAGGTAAGTCGGCGCAGTCTTCTGCAAATGAATCCTGGTCAGCAATGGCCCGCGTCAGTCGTTTCTCGTCTGAGCTCAAGGTCATCTTGACCAGGTCCAACAGACCTGAGAGCAACTTGGACAAGAAGCTTTGCAAGGGAACCCAAAGCAGTTCTGAGAAGACCTGAGACCTCGCCAAGCAGCCCATCACAAATCGCTGCTCGGCCGCTGAATCTTTGCCATCTTCACCGTCCTTTCGGCACGACAGCTACCAGTAGTGGCTATAGTGTGGGCATGGCTGCGGGGCTGTCGTTGTGAACGATTTGATGTACATCGCAAGATGCCTGCGAAGGTCGCTTTTTCGGCGGCGTGTACGAATCTGAAGGTTGAAAACAGAAGAGATGATTGCAGAAGTGGCGAAGACAAAGATATCGAATGCTCTCCCCTTTGCAACGGAATAATCCCCCCACGCTGGCATCGCGTGGTACGGAGCCAGCCAGCAGAGGCTAACTTCCCTGATCGCTTTCACGTGAGAATGGGGGCCCGTGACAGCACAGCACGCAAAATGATCAAGACATACACACAACCTTCCGCGTGATTTGATTGAAGCACGGAAGAACGTCTTACGGCAGCGGAGTTCAATATGGGAGAACACAAGTTACCGCGACGTTGCGAACCACCCCCGGCAATGCGTTAACAAGCGGATTCCGGCATCACACCAGCTATCGCCACAGTGAGCCATTCGCAGCAGCAAGGGACGGCAGACCAGTCCGGATCCAAGCATGAGGGTCCCAAATGGATGCAGAGCATGCTTCGATCACCACTATGGATTCGAACAAAAAGTCTTCACTTAGGAAAGACCAAGCATCATCGGCCACAGAAAGAGCTTCCATCCAGGCTGCAATCACCTCGGCCGGAACCGTTGTGACGTGATCCCGGCCGCCCCCAAGCCCCCGGTTCAGACATCAAGGTGCAACTGTGCAGAGGTCCGCGGCTACAATGAGGAAGGTGCTCACAATCAAGAGGATGCCTTTGTGGCACTGGGAGAAGCTTTGGCTCGACAGCATACACTCTTCTCATCCTGGACTGTGCTGTCCGATTACGGCTGATAGTGTGGTGCTGCTCCTCTTCGTCCTCAAAGATTTGGCGCTGCTGGTCAGCAGCCGCGGTGACTGAGCGGATCCCATCAAGAAGCAGAGTCTTGTTGCCCTCATAGGCTGGACTGAACCTCAGATGCCAATCACTTCGCAAACTCCGACCCTTGGGCTGCCTGAACTTTCTGCAGAGCCGCAGGATGCTGCGGCCAAGTTGTGAATCAGAGCCACAAGCTTCCAGAGCTGCTGCCTCCATGTCCTTACATCGCAAGCTTAGCACCCAAGGGCCGCAATTGCTGCCCCATTCGTGGGAGAACGAAGCCTCATGCATCGGCACTTTGGCAGGTCACGGTTCGACTTTGGCACCCTTTAGGTCATTCGGCCTTCTGCAGTCCTGTTAATCAAACTTCGAAAGGCTCAGGTCATCAAAGCTTCGATGAGCGCGTCATTCGCGGCCGAAGTCGACTTGGCGAACTCAGCTGCCACATCGGGAGCGACCTGGAAGCTTGGCCCGGCATCTCTGAACAAAACGGTGCAGAAAGGGGCACCGATGCCTCTTGCAAGCCCGCAAGGGCTGTGTCGATGGGGGCAACGAAGCCATCGTACTCCTGGGAGTCAGCAGAAGCTCCAGCATCCTAACCCGAGGGCACCAACAACGATTCCAATCCAAGTCTTCACAGGGATAAGGGAATCGCATTCTTAAAACCCCAAAACCACGAGAAAGTGTCCCTCGCCCAGTGCGTATCGTCCGACAGCACGCAGAGTCGTGCACTGGAGGTCAAGGCCACATCATAGAACTCCTTGGAGCTTGCCGTAATCAACATTTCGAAGAAGCTCCAAATCATGGCTTCAACCCATCAACGGCACGGAGTCTACGCGGCGGGTTTGGGACAGGGTAGCGGACATTTCGGGCAGTCAAGAACCTTCAGGCCACTGGCAGCATACGCAGGTTACGGATACAGCAGCACCTTGTCCAACAAAGCACTCTTGCAAACAGGTGTGGCAAGCTTGAATCTAGCTTCAGCACACGGCCTGGCGCTTAGCCAGTCACAAGAAGGACTCCTCATGCAGAAGTGCCGGAGTATTACAGTAGTGCAAAAGCACTGGAAGACACGACGGTATCTCAACAAGCGAAGGCATTGAGCCCTCCCGCTCCTATGCACAGCATGTACGTGAAAGCAAAAGCAAAGGTATCCAAACAGTAAGTCCGGATCATGGCAAACATGCCCTGCCCAGAAGCCGACGATGATCGCTTGTGTAAGTGATGGAGTTGGGTCCAAGGAAAGGGGCGAGGCAAACTTACAAGAAACAAAAAAAAACGCCGGCAGAGCCAAAGCTGCTGTGTCTTTCGCGTGGACGATCAGCTGCTGCAGTGGATCCGTGCCCTCTGCCTTGTACAGAGCCTTGGGGGCAGATACAAGGCTCAAGTCCAGGACCCGGGAAAAAAAATCTCGCGTGCTCAGCTCTGCCAGTGGGAAACTCATGCTGCACACCTGCTGGGGCCCACTGGCGATGCACTCGAGTCGAGAGCAGCGTGCTCTTGTTAAGTCCAATGAGAACTAGCTGAACCAGCTGAAACCAAGACTGCGCTGCAAAGCCTCGAGACACCTAACAGACTGAGAAACCAGCAACCCAGAGGTCCTGGAAACCCTGGACTTGTTGTTGTACAAAAAGATCGCAGCGAGGCTAAGGCCCAGCTCACACATTTATGCCAGTGCGAACCTTGCATCCTAGCCACGACCAAGGTCAGCACAGCTGGTATAGCAAAGCCTGGCAACAGGGAAAAGGCCCAGGTGCAGGGCGTTTCGATGCGGAGCAGAAGACCTAGGCCTAGGCTTAGGCATCGTTTGCATGTGACAAAGCAGCAACGTGCTTCCGTTCAAGATCCGACATCGCTGTGCTGGAACAAGCCCCCGACACTTGCTGGTCGGTTGCCGATGGCTTGTGAACAACACTGCAAGCACCAATGCGCACTACCGCATTACCTACCGCATCCCAGGCACAGATGTAAAGAGTCTCTCTCCTATTCCGGCCTGCAAGTGCAAAGACTTCGGCAGACATCGCCAAGTAGAAAAGCCTCCAGGGCAGAAACAGACTTTCGATAACTCCCATTGTTTTGTCTCATACGATGTGTCATTTTGACGTGCACATTTCCCACAACCAGCTGTGTCCGAGAAGAGTGCGCGCGGCTCTCGGATTCTCGCGCTTCGAGTTGTCTCTTCTTGGCTTGGATTCGGAGCAGCCCCTGCATTTCTGCTCGTGCCAAGTCACCTTCGCGACCTCACTCATCCAAGCGTGCAGGTGGCACGAACGCGCGATTTCGACTGCAAACCTGTGCGACGATCGATGAAAGATGAGAGAATTATGAGCTGGGTGATGCTGGGTGTCACCTTCTGTCACCTTCCATGGTGAACACGGTCCTCCAAGCCGCAGAAACATCTCGCGTACCGGACGAAAGTAACGAAAGCTGGTCGACCTGTGCGCTCAGTCCGTCAGTCTCAAAGAGAAACCAAAGCGACAGCTGCACCAGGTCTGCCTAGAAACGGCTAGACAAAGTAACAAGAGGCACGCGTCGCAGGCCCTATCCCAAAACCAGAAACAAGCAAGGCTTCCATTACAACCATACGAGTACCGGCACCTCCTGCGCAATAACTGCGGAGATGGTGGGGCTTCATCATTCTCAGCTTGCAGCTGCAACGGCCTCCAAGGGCCATGCTCAGTGAGGTCATTAGTATGTCACTAGTCATTAGTCATCAAGATACCAGCGATACTCGCGGCAAACTAAAACAGGTCTAAGGCTGTCTCCACACGGCAACCCCGCAAGAGTCTGTGCCTGCCTCAAAAAACGCTTGGGGATCTTTCCCTGTATGTTCATGATCGTATCCTCTGCTTTTTTGACGAAGCGCTTGCGAGCTTCCTGACTGTACCTCGCAGCTGTGGCCAGCGACCTCCCTTTGCAGAGTGCTTCAAAGGGCTTTGGTCTGGGTATCGACAAAACCTCCCCGGGGCACGCTGAGTTTGCGTGATCTGCTTCTTTCCAATATCTCTCCAGCCGTCGGTCCAGCCGTTCGACCGCGACGGTCATGGCGCATTCGCCGAAGAAAGCTAGCAAGACCATGGCCCTGAGATTGATTCGTTGGCACTTCGCAGCAGGTGACTGACGGCGCCAATGCTTCCATGAACCTCTTGCTCCTGCTAGCTACAACTACGAGTATCACACATGCGACCAAAAAAACCCGGTTCTGAGGCAGGACACGGGCTCAAAATGCCCCACCAGGATTGCGTGTCCTGGTGACGCTTGCCTCAGATCTCCGCATCTCCAAGAGCCGAGAAATGCTTTCTCCCTTGCTGCACGGACCGCAGGATCCATGTGCGATGGATCGTCGCAAGTCGGGAGATGCGGCCCAAGAACGCACGTCTTTGATCATGCCGTCCAGCACATTGAGGCCCTCAAGCAGGAGCGCCTGATGAAAAGGACTCTTCGCTGCACTTCCTGGCTTCGAATTTGCCATCCACGCTCACTCGCTCGCGGTCCAAGGCAGGGGGATTCGAGGGCCTTGTTGGTCTCGTACTCGTCGCTGAAGAGAACGCTGGTCGCCAAGGTAACGTTATTTGTGGACAATTCGATGGCCTCGCCCTGGCCGCGGAAGAAAAGGCAACAAGCGGGTCGGCTGACAAAAGGGGGCTTCCGATGAGCGATGTAGACAACAGAAAGGCATGATGCGCCAATACATTGTCAATACATGCAACCGAAGCGGGGCCGACAAAAAAAGCAAACTCATCACACATTCGTCTCAGCTCACTATGCAAAGGGCAGCTGGGGGTGGTGATCATGTCTGCCGCAGCCACAGCACCAGTATGCAGTTCGAGTCTAACACGAAAACTCCAGCAGCAATGGTGGAAGTATTAGCCTCGGCTGGGTCCGTTCTTCATAGTCCATGTTGCCAGAATTCAAGAGCTTGGGGCTGCAAGGCCTATGTTCCCGATTGTCATCGGTTGACATGTTTCGGCCGATGGCCCGTCCTCCAATGCCAGCAACTTCTCGTTTGCCACGATGGTCCTTCTGTCGAACCTGGCAGGCCGCGAACTGAAACGGAACCTGGTGCATGTCCCGCGTATCACCTTCACAGTCTAGGTCTCAATCAAGGTGCTCGCTGGCAATGTCAGGTGCTTTGCGCGCGATCTCACTCAGGACCACCTGGGGAGGACGACAGGCTTTGAGGTCGTCTCCAAGCTTAGCAGTCCTGCTCTTGAATATTCGGCAAGGGGTTTTTAATATGTCGGGTCCGGTGCGGCAGATTCGCTTCGGCCTCGCGGGCTGTATTGTATTGGCCGGAATGGGTGGGCAACCCAACTGCTGGCTTCTAGAGCCTGTGCGCAATTGAGCTCCTTTACCAGAAGCTTGTGAGATTCGACCCCCCTCACACCACTACGGCTACGACAACAGCTACTACTACTACTACTACTCCTCCTACTTCTACTGCTACTGCTACTGCTACTGCTACTGCTTCCACCGCTGCTGCTGCTACTGCTGCTGCTGCTGCTAGTGCTACGCCACCGACGCCACCGCCACCACCATGTTTCACGTGGGAAGGAGGGTGGAATTGTTTTTTGGGCCCTCTTTTTTAGCAAGTGGGCTCTCTTTTTTTTTCGTGGGGTTTCCTAAGATAGTACACTTGCTCACTGCATTTTAGCGGGAATTTCCCTGCAGGGCTCGGAGATTCAGCACAAGGGAACCTTTTTGCAGGAGTCCCTGCGGAAGCCGCTCTTCGCGAAACCCTTCCGACCCTGTTAAGGAGACGCGTCGGTGTGTGCGTCCTCTGTGTACCGGTCTGAGTGCTGATGACTCAACGAGTAATCGTACGGCTTCCTGGCCTCCAAGGGCTCCACCTTGAGAAAATATTCGTCGCGCCATCGCAGGTCACCTTCAAAGACGGGGAGGGCCCCAAACGGAAGGGCTTAGTACCTATTAGTACTATTATTACTATTGTTACTATTTTTACTATTATTATTACGATTGTTACCATTATTATAGTATTACTATTGTTACGATCATTATTATTATTACTATTGTTACTATTATTATTACTATTATTCCTACTATTACTACTAGTATTACTATTACTATTAACCCCCCGGCCCGCCCGAGCCCTTCTCCGGCCTGTGAGCGCCAGCATCCGAGCGGACATCGTCAGGACGAGGTCGTACAACAACACATCCTCCCAGGCGGGTGGTTGTCAAAATTATGGTCCCTTTTTGGGTCCGTGGTATAATACGGCACCTAATATTAAATGTACCCAAAAAGGGACCCTAATTTTGACATCCTCCCAGGTCAAAACCTCTCATTGTTAGGTTAGGGACGGTTAGGGACGGTTAGGGGGGGGACGAGACTCTTCGAAGGGCTTCTTCTTAGTCTGTCTTGCCCTTTCAACTGCTTCGATGATGCACTTGCAGCCGGCCTTGCCAAGAGACGAGAGCTCGGTAACCAGACGCGAGGCCTCTGAGCGAACCTCAGAGTACCACTCCACGGCCAGCAGCGACGCCAAAGCTACCAGGCCGATGAACTTGATTCCAACCGTCCAGCGGAAGTGCACCTGGACGGGCTGTTCATTCTGCAGCTGTGCTCAAATCTGCTTGTCTGATCCCCGCTGCAGGAAATCCCTCGCTGCGACCCTTGCGATGATTGAAGGCTAGGCTGTGAAGCGTCGCAAGGACGGATCGGATGGGTCCATCTTCCCTCATGAACCGAAAAGACAGGGTGTCCACCTTCGCAAAGCGGTCCACGCCGTCCTTTGTCTTTTCCATCCGCTCCTGGAGACTTCGGGCTCGGATTTGGCCTAGCCGTCTTACAATGTCGCGATGCTCGGCTTAACGGGAAAGCCACCAAACAAGTGCACGGATCGACTCTAGCATCAGGGCTGCTCACAATAAGGATCACTTACCTGGACTTCGCAATGACATGGCACAGAAGATCTGTGCTGCGGATTCGGGTATCCTACTATTGCTACTGAAACGCAGGCCATCTCCTTCAACGTGGCGATGTGCTGATCTTCTGCAGACTCGAAGTCGACATCGCGCATGATTCCAGAGTCCTCGATACCGGTGTCTACACCAACACTGCGAAATGCGCTGCTCTGCCAAGGATCCTCGAAGCAGTGCGTCATGCTCTTCCAGCTCCGCCCACTTACAACGCCATGTCGCGGCGACGACAGCTGACCATAAACTGATCTCTCGGACTGTCGGAGTCTGCAACGGGCCGAGTTGTGTGAAGTTGTGCTTGTGCTTCTCTTTCTCTGCAGTCATGTGATCTACATGTGAAGTCTGCTTTGAGCCTGAGATCAGCATGGATCAGCGAGCATCTAGCTTTTCAGAAACCCAAAGTCAAAGTCCCTGTGGCCCTTCTAAACCCAAAGACACGTTGGCGGATGCCCAGTGGTTCCGCCATCCCCTCATCCGAGACTCCAGGGTCGAGTCACTGGAGGCGGATCGCGGCCCAATGGCGCTCATCCTTGAGAGCTTCCGGGACCTGGGCTCAGAGCACCCGCTGCGAGCAGGGCATCCGCTGGCGCCTGAGTTCCTTACTGCCTGCGCCTGCCATCCACTCGGCCTGCGCTTTCGACCTTTCCGGTGACCTCGCCACAGGAAACTGACTCCGCACTTTGCCGCCAACCACACACGTTCGAGTACAGAAAATGCGCCATGTCCTCTCCTCACTGTCTCATGGGTGATCCAACTGCATAGTGTGGTTGCGAAAGACAAGTGACTAGTGAAAACGCAGAATCCGAAAAAGGCACCCTACCAGTAGGTTTCAAGCTCTCCGTCGATGTGCCCGTCGAGGGCCGGGAAGCTGGCGTCGAGGCCTCCGGCACCTCCGGTTCCTGCAGGCCAAAATGGGGGGCAGCTTCCTGCTAAAGCTTGGGAGCTATCGGAGAAAGGGGCCTCATGAGCCACATGCCCCTGCAAGGCGATTCAATTCAGAACCTCGCTTTGCTCCCAATACATCTCGAGCGATCGTGCACGAGTCGTGCAGCGAACTGCGGAGTCAGCAGCTGTCCTGTATGCCCAGCTTTTCCTTCAGCTTGCCTCTGCAGCACTAGGCTCCGGCCGGGGTGATTTTGAGCATTGAACTGAGGCGGCAGCTAGGCAGTTTGAGTCGAACTGGTGCATCGGCAGGAAGCCAGTTGCTTGCATCCAGAATATCTGCCCAGTCGGAAGAGGGTTGAGGATGGTCTGCAATCTCGGGTGGAAGGTCCCTTGCCTTATATCTGCATGCCAAACATGCCATTCTCCGCCAGACACGGATGCCTTTCACGCTACATGCCTCCATAACTTCTCATGTCTCATGCTCACCTCGAGCAACACAACGGAAATGCATGGTTCCCGGCTGAAGCCCTCCCGAAGGCAGAATTCGAATCGATGCAGGATGCTCTGCCAAAGCCCCGCCTGGGATGCTTTTGGCCGCAACTCCAAAAAGACTGTCGTACCACTCCTGCCATGTACTGTGCTTTCTTTCCGTTCTTGCAATGTCTTGCAGTGGTGGTGCCTGGCCAATGTCGGCTGAGGCACGAGAGGAAAAAGTCAGGGCAGAGGAGCGCGACACAGGGAGAGGAGACGAAGGGCTATAAGGTGGCTAGAAACTTCTTTCAAGTTCCGGCTCCAACTGGAAGGAGAGCAAGTCACCTGCTGATCCCTGCACCGGCCAGCATCTTGGTTCTACCTTCTCAGAGCTTGAACAGAAGAGGTCCAGATACGATGTCGACCGTTTGCTGGAGTCAGTCAAGACCAGCTTCAGATTCGTAGTTTGATGCAGCCTAGAGCGCAAGCATCTGCTTGCTACCAGTACTAATCAAACACAAGGCAAAGCCGCAAAAAGACCAAGAAATGGCTCTAACCGTGCTTTATTCATGCGATACTCATCACGATGTAGCAGTATTCCCTCTGACAGCTTCGCGAACACAGGGGCATGTGGACATGTCATACCGTGGCTTGAGCTGGACGAGGGGGCCCATGCAGAAAACATGCTGCAAACAGGACATCTCCTTGCAGAATTTCAAGCGAATCGGCTTGCCTTGGAACGAGGTTGCGAGATCAGGATGCAGCGTGGGCTCCAAACTGCCGGGGGTGCCAACGGTCTTCTAGTTTACAAAGACTTCCAATTACACTTCGAGGTTTCTTAACGGTTTCTTCAGGCTTTGCAAAGAAAACACCAAGAATCAAGCTGCGGACAAGGAGGTAGAATTGCCCCAGTGAACCTACCTTTCTCCTCACTTGCATCCCAGTGGCCGATGGTTTCGAAGCTTGGCGCCTTGAACTGTGGGTCGTCAGGGTCGCCCGCCCAAGCCTGGCGAACCAGGAACTCCACGGCAAAGGCTGCAAGGAATGAGCGAGACTTCATAAACGAGGCGGGATGACGTGCGGAACCATCGGTGGCAACGACGGTGCGACAACCACCGGACGCAAATCTGCCAAGGGAGACCTGTTTTCACGAGGCGTTCTACTTCAGAGCAACTTTAAGCGGAGAGCTGAATCATCCTTAGCCTTAGCCTTGGCCCTTATGGTCGCTGTGGAAGATCCAGGCTTCCCCACTTGATCCGCCCAGGGCCCAGTATGTCACTGTCGGTGTCGGAGAGCGACGGCCTGCACCGAGTACTGCCCATGTGAATGTGCTGCTCACTGATGAGAAGCCGCTGGTGACTCTGACTCGCGCTCTGACTCGCCATATTGCAACAACGACCAAGCCATTTCCCTTTCGCCCCCGTTTTCATAGCCGTCTCCCAATCTGCGAACTTGAAACCGACAAGCCCCGCCTCTTGGATGCAAAGAGGCTTGCGGGCGTCTGCGCTCTGGACTCCTTGGTGCGTCGGCACAATGCCCCGAAAGGACAAAGACGTTTATTTACTACGCGGTGTGTTCCCCAACCAGCTGTGAAGTACCGAAGCACCAAACTGCCAAGGCACTGCCGGCGGCAAGCTTTGCTTGCTGCGGCTGCTTTGGCTGCTCTTCAGCCGCTTTTGCGACTCAGCACGGCAACGCAATGCGCTGCGACGACTAACGACCGAACCCATTCACACTTTCCTGGGTTTCATATTGGGAGAACCTGACAAGTAAATGCAACGGGCACTCTCGCACTCTCGGATGCAAGGAGCCAGGACAGGTGGACGTTCGACAACACCGAAACCCAGGGAAGTGCTGGTCCCAGGAGCCGAGGCCAAGGGAGCCGAGGGCCGGGAAGGCATGGAAGGCATTGGATGCCTCCAAGGGCAACATCCCTTCCATTCCCGGGACAGACTTCTACATCCCATTTTTTAGGCTGTTCGGCCACAGCATCTCTTTGCCTAGGAGTGATTTGGAGTAGCTCAGAGCGCCTTTCACGGGAATCCAGGCAGCGCGGCCAAAAAGCATGGCCTCTCTCGGCCGCTCTGTCTCTATGTGCTGAAAGTCAGACCCCCGATCCAACTCTGCATCTGAAATTTCAAGTTCACGTTTCGTTGCGACTTCTCGCCGTCTAGGGCTAGGGCAAAGAAAGCTCCTTCAAGCTGGCTTGAGCAACCTGACTGCAACTAAACAGACATGAGCCGAAGTTCTGCAAGTGAGCGGTGCCGTTTATTGATGACCCCGAGTTGCCGTCACGTTCAATCACGCTTGGGAGTGCCTCAGCCCTGAATGGGGCAAAGAAGATCTTAGCACTTGCCACGGGCATGGGCAAAGACTCCAGTTTTCAACGGCTTGCTGAACCGGAGACGAAACTCAGCTTTCGAGACGTCAGTCAGAGTGGGGCACGGGCATCGGGCATCCGAGCAACCATCACAACTAGGACCGAACACAGTGCGGCGTCCGCTCTGCCACAAAAGGCTCCGGATGCCGAGATGCAAAACATTAGCTTGAAACTGAAATCCGAATCCGCAAGAAGTGGACCAAGACTTGCTGCCTTAGAGGGCCTGGCCCGGCTGCTAGCTGAAGGCAACCAAAGGCCCCAAGCCCCATAGCATTTCTAAGCATGTCTGTGCATCTCTATGATCCCGACTTGTTGTCTCGTGGCGTGAGGCCTGGGAACATCTTCAAAAAATGCAAGCCGCTGGTCAATTTTGCTGTCAAGCTGACAGCAGCCGGCCCGGAAAGGGGACGCTGCTTTGCTATCGAAAGGCAGACGTTGCGCTTCTCCTGGCCTGAGCGGTGAGACAGGTCTATACATAAGATGCCACGCGGAGCGTCAGCCTTGGAAAGGGCAGAGACGCTGGTCTGCAACATCAGGTACAAGTGGAGACGACGCTGAGACCCATGCATTGCCGATGCATCTTCAATCTCCTGCACAGAGAGCCGCTCTGCGGTCCCGGTAACAAGCTCTGGTAAGAGTGTAGTCCTGCTTCATCCTTTCTGGACTATCACGCCGGCCATCCACAGCTCGAACATGCATACCGGCCTGTGCTTTGTGCAGCTCAAGCGAATAGCACTGAATTACACCTGACATACACCTGAAACCGCAACCTCCCCAGCTCTTGGCTCTCCCAAGAATTGTTCAAAGGCTCTTCTGTGCTTTCGAGGTACCCTCAAGCCAGCGGATGCGCTGAGGCCCTCCGCGCGATCCAGGTAGAGACCGGCGGCCTATGCACGGCAAAGTCGCTTGAAACTCTTGAAACTTGCAAAGAAGACACCATTGAGGGTTTCGAGAGCAACCTGACTTGCACGGCCTTTCAGGCTTTCCGGTCCCATGGCAGCTCCGGCTTTGGCACCGAACTGTGCTCTGATCTGAATCCCCCAACGCAAAGCCTCATGCTCTGGAAGCACCATCTGCAGGCCAAGGGGAATTCCCCCAGGGCGCGGCAGCGTCCTCCACCGTTCTGAAGCTGTGGGTTATGAGGGACCGTCGATTTCGTGTGAAGCTTCGGGCCATAGGGGGCTTTGCTGCTATGCCAAACGAAATTGAAGATCCCACGCAGCACAGGTAAGTGAAAACACTGAGACCGCGGCACATTTTGCATCGATGGCCACTTGAAGCCTTCCGTTTCGTGTTAGTGTTAGTCCGACGCAATGCAGGCCCACTTTCTGTTTGAATATGCGAGACAAGTGCTTAAAGCGAGATTTCTGCGAAGATGAATTGCCAAAGTTTATCTGAAGCAAGCTCTGTAGCTTTCGGAAGTCCCCTGCTGTTAATGCGACTGAGTGATTGGTGTGCCTTTTAGTACCTGGACAAGCACACTCCCACCTCGCCATGATCCTACGATCCACGAAGTCTGGTCGATAGTCACGTCCAACAACTCTTCCGACCACGATCAATTGAGAGACCCATCCCAAGCCCTAACTCAACAATCTCAAGGAGATGGCCTAGCGTGATGCTGCCTTTGCTCTGCAGGAGCTCTTTGTGGATTTTCTGGGCATCCTCATGCGCGCGGGCCACGACCCAAACACGCAAGTGGGAGTCAGCGGGCTGCGTGCAGTCACAAAATATCTCATGCCAATGTCTTCAGTTCCGGAGTTTAACTGTAGCGATCCGCAGGCAAGAGCACAGTACGACGAAGTTGCTGCCGAAGTTCATGAAGTCTGTGATTACGACCTCCAAACTTATGGAAAGCACGTATACAAAAGCTACCTGGTAGTCCCCAGACCCGTTGATTTTGACACAATCAAGGATGGCGATCCATCGTGCATGTCAGGGTTCACCTTTAATCCCAGCGCCCAAGTACTGATGATCAAGTGAACAGAACCAACACCTTTGACAGCATCTCGCCACGACATCCTCTCAGCTCGAAACAGCACATGATGTGCTTTGGAAAAATGCCCTCTCCCTTATGGGCATTGAACAGTGAAGCCGCGCTCCTGATGCACCTGGTTCACTTTGTAGAGGCCCAGCCCAGGAAGCAGTTGCCTTACAGCTGGAATACTGATACTTTATGGTCAAAACGGATGGCGGGACTCAGAGGCACCGCAGGTCGGACATGTCTTGTGCAGTGGTGAAAAATTTGAGCAAATCAGTCGAAGCGGCTTGCAAGGTGCTGCGCGGAAGTTCCACCTTTCACAGCTGAGGACAGGGAAGCACGCAACGCCCTCCACAAGTCCCACAGCGATAGAAAACTAAACCTCATCATCAGCCTCACCGCTTGGCTGTCTGGCACCACTCGCACCACGATAGGCAGCCTGCATGAACGAAGGACGAGAGATGCAAAGCTCCGTCCTCCAAGCTTAAGAATAGAAAAATGGAAAGCCGGGCACTTTCCGATTAGCCAGGCCAGGTAACAGCGGATTAGTGAGGTCCAACTCCAAGCCGAAGTCGTTGTCCTGCGCTGCGGGCGCCAAAGTAGTGGTACTTTGGCGCTCAGGGCCGTCAAGGTGAAGCAAGTCAAGGCGCGGCGGCATGGTGCGATCAGAAAAGCGCCATCGTTGCTTTGCCCTGAATGCAGTCGAGGAGCCGCTGAAATCTTCCAGACCTGGCCGGTCTCTTCGGAAGAGAGCGTGGGTTCTGGGCGTCTGCTCGGATCTCGCCAGTGCTTTCTGGGTGCCGTGACCCGCGGTCATAAGCGTTTGGGAGCTGAGGGCTTCGGGGTCCACTCCACTGCGCCAATGCCTTTCCGATGTCCATTTCCACAGCTGAATGCCCTGGACTGCGTGTTAATGCGCGACGACGGCAGTACAGACACGATGAAACTTCAAACCGCGAAGCCAGTGCAAGAGCGAGCTTTTGCTGGCTTCGAAGCGGAGGCATCGGAGTCCAGCATGCCCAGCGTCCGTGTTTCCGGAAGGAACCGAGATCGCCCACTCACAGAGCAGCCTCCCAGCGCAACTCATGCCAAATGGACTCCACTCGAAGACACGAAGAAACGCTACAGACTCTGGGGACCCGAGTAAGTTCTAGCTTCCCTCAGGTGCCATATCAGAACTATGGGTGAGGGGACCTTTGCGCACTAGCCCTCGCATCCCAAGTACTTTGGTCAAGCAGAGGCAGAGCTGGTGAACACTTCCCAAGCCCTGTTGAGGCCTCTCCACGACATGGATCCCCACTTTGCTGCAGATTTCGCCATCTGTGACGCATTTGCTCCTTGCAGAGGTGGTCATTATATAGCCCACAATCAGGTTTTCAGGTGCTCAGCAAGCCTCGAACCCTCTGCGAATAGAACATGCTCGCCCTCCATGCCCCGGCAGCGCCTTCGAGACATAATGATCCAGCACATATGAGTCGCCATCCGACTTCCCTCGGGTCACAGGAGGTCGGAGCATGCACAGAGCTTGACACCGCACCAGCCCACCCACAATTCTGCAAAAGGCTCGGCACGCATCACCGAAAATGGAGAGAGGCATGCTCAGCCGCTGGTGCTCCACGGCCTGCATGGACACCGACAGACTGACGGAGTCTCAGACGATGCCACGCTTCGGTCCTGCCTCGAGCCAAAATCCAACCTCACCAACTCGCGAGAGACACCCACAAGAAGGGCAGGACTTACAAGGACCACTACGTAGGATACACGAAGCATCTGCAAGATGTAGGGATAGGCGATAGAGGCGCTGTGCCGTGCTTGAGAAAGGAGCAAACGTTCGTGATGTGACGGGGGCGTCGCCAACGAAAGCAAGGCAACATGAAGTAGCAGCTGCACAGTGACAACGGCGAAGTCAAAACACCACCGGTAAGGCCAGACTGTTCCACAGTGCAGCGATTCAGGAAAAGGTCTCCTCTGGTTTGTCTTTGCTCGAGAGCTCAAGCTCCCAGCAAGCGGACAAACATCGACTTACAGGAAACAAGATGCTGCGAGACTCTCCTTACCAGCCCCGCAAGAGCAAAAGCGAGAAGAACCGCTGGCATGACACGGCAAGGCAGGGGGTCTTGTGAAAGCCGTCGCATGCTTGCAGCCCAGTGGCTGCCACGTCTTCTTGTGGGAGCTCAGTCAGCCCAGGCAGGGAAGAGTCCTACACGGAGCCCGGACATCCGAGAGCCCCGAAGATTCGAGAGTTCTGGGCCCCAGAGATGGTAAGCTCCTGCATGCCGCTTCCGCTGTTGTCCTTTCCGCCTTGGTCCTGCGACGGCACGGGAGAGCCTACCGCCACACGGTCACAGTCTCTTGCCCTCCCTGCCTCAGAG